CAATAATTAAAACATTTAATTAATTATTATTTTTTTCACAAATTAAGAAGGTGTAACATATTTTAATTCTCCAAATAAATGGTTCTCATTAATTAGAAACTAACATTTTCTGACTCACAAACTCAGTAGGTGAAACGAATTTTAAACATCCCAAAACTGGCCATCACTTGAAATAATAAATCATTTCTCAATTTTACTGACTGTAATATTTAATTTATATAAGTAATAACAATATAAACAGGTAGATAAATCATTATTAACTGTTCCACTATTGCATTTGGGAATACTAAGAGAGAGAGAAAATAATCTTAAAAATTTCACTCACATATTATTCGGAATACACAACCTTGAGGGGAGTGTCCAGTTTTCCTAGTTAGGGAGGAAGTCTATTTCCTTGAGCCAACACTTTGATTACAGTTTAACTAACACTCTCACGCTGAAGTCCATTCTGTACAAGAATATCTGGAAACGGGAGGAAGTCCTTTTTGTAAAATGAACCGCCAGATCAGGGAAAAGTCTAACCGTCCGGAACCAAAAGATCCGGAAAAAAATAACTACACGTCGATCCGGAACTTGCAAGTGTCGGCGGGCATATTCACTTCGGGAATATCAAATTCTCGAGTTCCGAAGAGATTATCCGGAGATTCGGGTAAACAGGGAAAATCTGTTCTAAATTTTCATGGTAGATTTGCTCTATACATCTCGCACTATAGTAGTAATCAGCTCTCAGCATCTTTGCAGCGCGCGCACATTTCTCCAGACATCTCGAGAGGAAAATGTTCCTTGCATCTCGCACAAAAACTTCTTAAACATTTTGCAGAAAAGAATGTATTATCCTCTAGAGCAAAATAATACGCAACCCAAGCCCTCTTTCTCCGGCAACCGGCCGCACGGCAAAGCCGGCAGCAGGGCAAAACGCACCTCGTTTGCTTTTTTTTCTCTTTCACATCGCCGCTGCTCAAAATCACTCCATATGAGACTCCAAAGAAAAAACCGTAGCCGGAGCCCGCTGGTACACGCCGCTCGCGAGAGCAAGACCCGCAAGGGGACAAGCCCCCACTCTTTTTTCCTTTTCCTTTTAGCTCGAAAATTAGAATCAGAATGAATTCTAACAAGTGTAAGCACCGAGGGTAAATTCTCCTCTCCGCCTCCCGAAAATTTAATTGGCTTACAAAAAATTCATAAAATTAAAATCACACCAATGCCAGAATTTACTTTATCTAAACTGAGAAAATTACACACCCACAACAAATTAAAAACCAGAAAATCTGACAATTAAGACAACATCTATACTCAGAAAAAAAGTAGGAACTAAACCCCCCAAGTAACAAGCGGAAACTAGGCTGTACGAGAATCCAATTACCTAAGCTTACTGAAAGAAACATTGCAAATACAACAAAGCGAAAGGAAGACGATTTTTTTTTGTTACGGCGCCATTAGTAAAAAGGGCCACCAGCGAAGAAAGCGACAAGACAACACCCTACTGCCTCCACTTGATAGTAAAAGGCCATAAACCCATAAAACAAGGTGTTTCTTGCAACCGTTTCCTGTTTTTGTTACAGTACACTTTCAAGAACTACCAGCTAAATAAGGCTTTAACAATTTAAGAAAACTCTTTTTACCAGATTAAAATATACATGAGTACAAACAAAAAAAACTAGAATAATGATAACTTAAAACACATTAATATAATTAAAATTCGCGACTTAACACCTGCTTCCAAAAAATACCTAATGTCTCTACAAACTGATGCAAAATTCATCATCGAAGCAATGTCTAATGTATAACTTTTTTTTCCTAAAAAATGTTTTTAATATAATCTATTTACGTCAAAAATAATATTGTTGCGTGCGTGAGGGTTCATAATATATTGCATGCACACAGAAACGATCATAGCTTAATAAAATTTATTTTACCAAAAGAAAGACTTCGCAGTTCTGGAACTTTCCACAAAAATAACAGCTTTTTGCAGTATCACAGAGTACAATCAGTAGTTACACTTTAAATTATTTACAACTTTCAACGCAACGCAGTGAAAGGCGTATCTAAAGACCGAAGGTAATACGTATATCTCAATATTCCGGATTCAGCTCTGAACTTGTAGGGGTTTTGTAACTAACCAATTATTTTACGTTTTGGAATTTTTTCTGAACTCCTCGATTCTCCTCGCATTTTATCGCCAGGATGTAAATTAAGTTACAGTGAAAAAGGTTATATAAACAGGCGAAGCGAGAAAGTAAGACATAGTAGGGCTCATAGCTTATATACACTGACAGGCTTTAGTACTGGCACGTAGTCAAATGTAAATAACTCGTAGTATTATTTACATTTATGAAAAAATCAAAACATTTGTAGTTCGATGAATTTTTTATGGCTTCCAGATCATGATTTTAAAGTAATAAAACATCATGAGAATACCGATAACTTATATTTAGATTTGAAATCATTATAAATTGTGTAAAACCTTTTTCGGCATATCAAATGTAACAAGGTTATCAATCAAATACTCTAATAAATCACAGAAAAAATATCATTGAATGGCATTTAAGGAGGAAAAATCAAAATTCCTATGTGTTATTGTAATTTATGTATTAACTAATCCCTCAGTGCAAATTGAAGATCATGTAAAAAATTTCGAGTTTTGAAATTAAATTCCTCGGTTAATTTTAGTCGTATAGGATTCAAACTTTATGTTTTATTTTTTATAATGAGTATAACAGTTTTGATGTGATAATGATTGTAAAAGTATCGAGGAAGCGTATAAAAATGTTAGATTTCATGAATTTTACAAAATTGTATTTTTTTTTCATTTAAAAATGTTACAACATTAATATTTGCGAAATGTTGAACATCTTTTGTATTTGGAAATATATATCTATGACCAACAAATGAGAAAATAAATGCCGATTAATAACATATGTGGACACGATATATACTGTTGCGTGCGTAGGGATTCATAACGGATTGAATGCACACAGAACCGATGATAATCTGATAAAATTAAATTTCAGAAAAGAAACAATTTACAGTTCTAGAACTTTCCTCAAAAGTACTCATACAGATTTTCTCATTATGACAGAGCACAATCAGTAATTACTACTTTAAACTACTAAGAACATTAAACAGAACGCAATGCAAAGTGCATGCAAAGAGCTCGCATTGAGATCTATTTCTAAATTAAAAACTGAGAACTGATGCTCTCACTGGGCTTATATAGTTTTCCCTGGCCTCCAAGAAATCTCTAGTACCTTCCATTTCTTCGAAATTACTGAAAGGCATACACGGTTAAAGCTACATACAAGAGCCAGAGATGGTTACAGTTTCATATAGGGAACAATTACAGTTACACAGGAACAATTACAGTTACACCAAAATGTTGCCAAAAGGTTGCCAAATTTGGCGAATTTTAAAAATTTATCGCCAAATTTGCTGATAAAAAATTTGTTGCCAAAACTACCGTCAGCTTGGCGATATCTCGCCAGATTAGCGAGATAGACCATTACATCAATGTTAAATAGACTTGCCCTTGTAATCTTATTTTTCCGGTAAATCTTAATCTATCAAGGCATTTGACATTACATTTTGCAAAAGATTCTCTAATTTTACATGTAATTTGACTAAAATTATTTACACATGTACGAAATTTGTAACAGTATTTTGGAATCTTATGTCTGTGGGGCTTTCACTTCCAAAGCAAGCTTCATTGCTACGGAGAGCAGAACTAAATGCTTTCCCTGTTAAAACCATTTTTAAGGTACTTTCTACCTTGTTTGTTTGACGAGGATGTTTTAGCTGAAGATTTCCTACACACTATAGGAAGAATATTTTCTACTGCTACAGAAGAAAAGAACTTACATTAATTTTCTTTGTTTATTTATAATTCGTTTCATTTCTGATGAAGAAATATTTTCCTTACAAACTCCTTTTGTTGACAAACGCTATGACTGAATAATAATTGCTAACGTAGTCTCCGATTTTATTTTTTATAAATTAAATTAACACCTTAATCAAAATTATATTCGGAAATCATTTATACTATATATAATTCATAAAAAATGTGTTGCGTTAATACGATTTTGAGTTCTACATTAATTCTTAAATTCAAAGAATAATTAATATGTTTAAAATTCCGCATCGCTATCCTCTAGTGCAATATGAGCATCCTCGTTTTAAGAAAATCTTCAGGAATTAGGTAAAACATGGATTTCTGTACGTAGATATTCTTTTCCGAAAGTAGTCTTTTTTAACGTAGGCCGCTCGATGGAATTTCCATGCATAGTTATGTTATGAGTAATCTTGTTTATAAATGCATCTATATAAATCATCCATTCTATATATAATTATATCCTTTCTCAGAATCAATCTGCATTGCCTTAACTTATTTGATGGTTTAAGGAAAACACATATCCAGCTCTTTTTAAAACAAAATTTGGTCTGATTAGAATAGAGGTTCAGCAAATTTCAGAGGTGGTCCAGACCACAGCAATCCTTACCTGTTTATTTCCCTCATTTAAAATTAATGATTATAAATAACAACTCAGAATGTTCTTTGATGTAAAGAAATTAAGAGCACTAAAACTGAATCTGCGAGTTTTGCTGAGCCGAAAATTTTGTACCAAAGATAACTAGGCAAAAATTATATGATCAGTGATATTGTGAACATAAAGTTTTGTACTAGTGATATAGAATTTTAAACTTCCTGTAACTCATTATAAATAACTCCAAATTATCCTTAATAAAAGACCATAATTATTTTCCTTGTCAAAGGGAGGAAATAATTACTACGCTGCAGTGGCAACGGAGCAGGTCTTAAACAAGTTGATTTATTATCAGTTTTATCTACGATAAAACTAATTGATTAATGTTAATTTCTTCAACTCAGGGACAGTATATTTTGCAATCCATTCGGTATAATATTTTCTCTATTATATGATCTTAATTTTATAACGTTCTTGCTCCTTCTTTCTATTTAAACTGTTTCTATTTTTAATTAGTCTAGAAAGAATCGTGGATAAGAAATAGATTCGCCTGCCGCTGGTCATTGACAATACAACCATGATAATGGTATGACTTGCCCATCACAGTCGTTATGTTCTGCTGTGGTTATAATATACTTGCCAACGGAGGGCACATAAGGTAAGAATATAACTTCATAAATATGAAATCTTAATTTTAATCAATAACATTCGAAAGGCCAATATTCGGAGCTCTCCCATCACAATTTCTTTACTACAAATAATTCGGCGGGTCTTTCTTATCGACGAATTTGGTGATCTCTTTTGGCATGTACTGCCTTTACTAAGCGCCGCACTGACAGGAAGCATTTACTTTATTTTATAGTATTTTGGCCGGAAATCTAATCCAATTTCTTTCTTCATAGACAGACGACCCGAAACAAGGGCATTAAGTACTCGTACATTTTCTAGGGAATGAATGAAAATTATTTAATCCAGAAATGGATAAAATTTGAAACTTCAAGTTTGGCAACAGGGTTTTGTTGCCATAAGCAATTCAGTTCTGTGATTTCTCAACTTCTGCTTACGGTGGAAGTCGTTTCTCCTGAATGCGAAAACAGTGAGTTACCCCTACATACCCAGAAGGGGTTCATTTAAGTGCTGGTGTAAAAGCCTGGCTTTGGACTGAAATCCAAATTTAATAAATCCCTAGTTGTAATGAATTCGTTCGAACCAAATAATTGCCTAGAGTCTGCCAACAGATTCGAATAATATTTACTAAGCAATGATTTGTGCTTCACGACATGACCTTAATGACTTTAGCTCTCCTGCTGTGTTAACTGACCAGCAATATCATTTTTACTAACTCAACCTCAAAGAATCAACATTTGGGTTTCTGGGTCTCTGGTTTATCTGATGCAGCCTTCCTTCCTTGAAGTGATCGAATTTGAGACGTTGATTCCTTATTTCTTGCTTGAATTATCGTAGTATAAATTTGTTTATCTTGATTTAATGATTAAAATATTTAGTGCAAGTTCTTCCCTCCCACTCTTGTTTCTAAGACTCTGATTTGATGCTACCACCATCATTGCCTGGTTAATTGATTTTGCTGCCCATTTCAATGGGTCGCTTATTAAGTGCTTGATTTTATACTGTACTGTAATTTTTTATATTATTCTGCATTTATAACACTTTATATGTCAGCGTACCACTAGAAGCTTAAAGTCGCAATATTTTATATTTTAAGCAAATCTCCTTTTGACTAATACCCTAAGTACAGTCTAGATATTAAAGAGGACTTGTACTTTAGCAGATTAACCCCCAACCTATAGAAACTCAAACAAGCGTCACGCAGAAAACTCTTTATTATTTTATCTTATTTGTTAAACTCTTTATATGATTTTTTACTTTGCTCGATATATAAAATTTTTTAATACAAAATTTAAATTATCTGTGTAAAATTTAAATTATCTGTATTGTAAAGACTTTTAGGTTCTCCAAAGGCCATGAAAAGTAAAAACCCCACAGTGGCCTCCCCGGAATTTGAACCACCGTCTGATTGGAAGTGTTAAGCATTGTGAAAAGTACGGACGGAGGAGCATGACACTTCATCACGGGTATATAGATATATTTTTTATTTTATTCTCATTGTTTGGCTATGACTACAGTGTGACGAATCTATAGTAAAGACAAACCAATTATATACATATTTCCAGGGGTTAAATGAGGTACACAAGACTGAAAACATTTGCCTTATATCTGATATTTATATTCAATATTATATCAGTTAAAAAACTTCAGAGAGTAAATTTCTAAAAAATTTAAATCAAGAATAACGCAGAGTAACTGTACTTATTTCATACGATCTGTTATGAATAACAGCAGAATATTTTCATAAATATCATTTAATCCCATTTTGGCACAATTTCTTTACTGTTACGCATCGTTTACTTGAGACATATAATAAGTTTGTCAGATTCTAGTTTAACTTTAGCAAAGTTTCTTTCATTCTTTTAATGAATTACAGGATAAAAAATTGCGAATCAGCCAAAGCTAAAATCCAACAGGAAGCTGATGCCACTTACAAGTACCACAATATTGTTAATAAGTAGCTATTTTTCTTAAACTGTCTTGATCAGGCATATGCTTTATAACGTGAAAGATAAATGAACCATCTCTCAGAGACACATCCTATAAAAAATTATGTCCTTTGTTTCGCCGCAAGACTCTCGTTCAAATCTCGTCGGCGTGTCTCGTCAGACACGTTTCTGCCTGAATTATGAGGCTTATAAATACATGCTTCCTTAACAGAAATCAGATAATAAATTGCATCGTTTAAAGATTTAAATACATCAAAGCTATATCATCTGCTGCTGCTTTTTGTTTTAAGAAATCTTGCTATTGAAAAGATACACTTTTGAAAACGATGATATGAGAAGGGATGCTATAAGACAATTTCATCCAGAAAACTGGTTATGCAGTTTTATCTAAGGAAAATGAGGAAACTAGCTTTACTCTGAGGAATTCGGCTTACAATTAATGAAAATTCATTTAATTTTCTGAAATAATAGGCCAGTTCATAATAGATCTAAATTTCCCAAGCATGACTTTAATGACCGTCCCAAGCATTTGTGCCTTTATATAACTGGCACCATAACAAGAATGTCACCATACGACTGATAGTATATGGCAGCCTTTTTTAGATCTAATTGCTTTATTATATTCTGAGCCCTGTGATTACCAGAGTGGGAAAGTGTCCGATTAAACTTCGGGTCATCGAACCTGAGATCATTAGAGCTATGCGTGTAATTAAGAAACACTGTGAAAATAAAAATAAACTGTCTGAACATATCTACTTTTTTAATGTATATATTAAAAGTCTTCGTATTCTTACATTTGTGATTTAAAGGTCACAGTGTATCATTCAATGACCTTTTTTCTCTTGCAATTAAATATTGATTTAGATATTTCTTTCATATTACGTAATTTAGGAAATGTTTTTGCTCTGATTGTTAAGTTCCATTAAACAAATTAAGAAAAGGCCTGTCTTGTTATTCCACGTACTTATGCTTCGAACTTTAGTAATTTTAATTAAATTAAGAGGAAAATGCATACTGTAACAACAAAAAATAAATTTTGGTGATATTTTATTATATTGGAATTGCACGGTATTATATAAAAGAATAAAATTGTCATATTAACAAAACAGCGAGGAAAAACGCATGACATTAGTAGCACTATTCGTTTAATTTGAAAAGATCTCGTTTGTCTTTTGAAATTTCAATTGTTTGAACAAAAATCTACTTTCAATGAGATTAATTTTTTTTTATGTTTGAGTTTTCTTAGAAAATTTTCTCTCCGTTACAGAAAATAATGATGATTATTTACCTTTAAAATTTGTAGAACAGATAATTTGGTCGGAATATATCTTCTTACTGTAAGTGAATATCTTAAATATATTACTTAGTTAATATATTAATATCCGATATAATTTTCATGACAGTGATAATCAAATTAATTACTTTTCTACCTAAAAGAAAGACAAAAACTCAACTTTGAAAACAAAAAAACTCTATTTTCTTTCAGCGGAAACATTACACTTTATTAATCACATCTTTCAAGACTATTGGCAATTAAGTTGTAAAGTCTATATTTACTTTTTTTTTAACTTCGAATTTTTCATTTATTGCGTTCAGCATATTACCCGTAGTGTATCAATTAAATAAAATCACAAAGTAATAAAATAAATCAATTTAATTTAATGTAAATTTTCGTTACCAAATTAAAATAAATAAACGGAAATACAGTATCTCGGTAGCAATCAAGCGAAAAAATTTTCTAATGATATTATAGTGAGAATATTAATATTACAACAAAGTGGCATGTGTGATTCCTGTAACTTGAAGTAACAGTAAATATAACTTAGTCAAACAAAACTTTAACAAATAATAAAACATAAAATAAATTTTAAAAATTCGAAATTCAAAATTTGGGATTCTAGATGCTTATGTTCGGGTGTAAGAAGCGTATTCAAAACGAATGCCACCATCTTTCCGCAATGCGGCGTACAAACGTACACACTCTTCGTTTTACTGTAAAGTATTCTTTCAATACTATGGACGAACTCGTTGGTTCTTAAGCTGCCTCACTATCGCGAACTTCGTCTAGGGTGACCGATATTGTATCCACAAACAGGGGAGAAGTGAAAACATATATTACAAAGCTTTGCATGAGAGTAGAAACCAAATCCTTGGCTAAGGGCTGGCAGTCAGTCTTTCTTAACCATAATACCGTCCATTCTCTTTTTTCATGTTTCCTTTAACTATTTTAATGGTTTTAAAGCATTAACTAAACATAATTTATTTGGAGATTTCAAGTAAAAATATTTCAGTAAAATTATTTACATCTATTGTTTGAAGGCCTGTAATATTTCAGCAAATAAAGTAGGATGTATTCTATTTAAAAGAAATAGCTTCATATTTTTGTATTTTATTTTAACGTTCGGTTTTGCCAATTCAATACAGAATTCTATCTCCGCAGTAATATATATTCATGTCCAGGAAGTTTTTTTAAGGAACAACCAAACAATATATTGTTAAACACACAGAAATATAATCAGATTAAATACAAGACGAAGAAAAGCTATCTATGTGTCAAAATGCGATGGATGCCATTACAATGATATAAAAGCATAGAATTCTGACATGAAGTATGTGACACGGACGACGAAATATCACCGGAGCTCTGAAAATTACCATGTTAAACAAGAGGTTTAGAGAGGATTTGATGTTAATCTTCCATGCGTTAAGCATTTCTGAAGCACGCTAAAATTCAGTTTGAAATGATCCGATAACATCTAAACTGATAACGTAATGAAATTAGACGTTTTTTTCACAAAGCTTCTAATAAATTACAGTATTAAGCTCTAGTGGTCTTATGAACTGATAGCGCCAGCCGTTAGTTGTTGCTCCGATCATCCTATTTATACGTTACTGAAATTGTTGTAGCCTTTGTTTGATTTGGATATACATTTAGAAAATAATTGTTTATACAGTAAATAATTTTAAAACATAAATTTTATATTAATGTTATTTCGTTTATTGTACTATCAAATTACAAAAGTTTATGATCTGTTAAATCTTAATAGAAACTGTTTTCAAGTGGTTGCTTTTTTTTAAACCGCTGAAATGAAGTAATTTGGAATAATATTAACGGTATTGTTTGCTGTTTAAATACGCTAAGCCGTTTGAGAGTTATTAAGTATACGAATGCCTTCGCGGCACTTTATAATAAAAATTATCTAGTATTTGCTTTTTACATGGCGACACCTGCACAAAAACCAAAACACCCACCCAATCATAGCCTTTAACAGGGATCTGAATAGGCGAACGATCAGTGTTCAACGATCTTATCCACTCACCATTGGTGGATCTAACACTTAAGAATATTCAGAGACAATCTATCAAGCTATGATCCTTCACACGATTTTTTTTTGTAATGTTCGTTCCTGCTCTGACGTCTGATCTAAATAGTGTTAGTGTATTTGAATCTTTTCGAACGTTTATTTTAAGGAATTTATGTAAAAGGGTTTTCACCCTTATTGCAACATCTGAAATGAAACTATGTACAGTTCACAAGTGTTATCGTTATCTGTAATTCCGTGTTAACGCAAATTCTAAAGTACTGCTTGGAGATGTAATAAAGGGAAATTAAAGGATTCAGAGGTTTATAATGATGCAAAATGAAGTAATTTTTTAAAGCTATAGAACATGTTTATAAGTCTCATATAGGTGAAACAGAAATCAGTTATCGAAAGCGCGTAAACGAGTAAAAAGGAAATGCCTCAATTAAAAAATAAATCTAATGATGAAGTCAATGGATTGTGTTACAAGAGTTATAACTTTACAATCAATATCCCAACATCTCAAAATTTTAAGTAGTCAGCTATTTGACGAATACGAAGCAAAGTTCAAGGCACCACGTGAGAACCAGAAAACACTGATGATTTAATTGTTGATACTTTTTTTTCCAATGGCAGATTGTGAACAGTTACAATGTAACACAGTCCATTGATCTATACAAGGCCAGATGTGGTATTCTCTTTATTATGGAGTCACCTAATAGGTGAGCCACCATTCTCTTCTATGAAGGGACGGACAGTTGCAACCATGCCTTCTCCGGATTCGAACCCAAGTTCTTCGGTATCGCAGTCAGGCTTCCCTAACCATTATACCGTCTGGGCGGCTAATTGTTGATACTTAACTTTACTAGCTTTCCTTTATACGAATGCAAAGAAATACTGGGCGGCTAACTGTTGATACTAACTTTACAGTTTGAAATTTAGCACAAATAATTTCATGAATGTAATATTCCAAAGTAGTAGCAAGTAGTGTCCTCAGTTGTATCCCTTGCATGCAGGCTTAATGGGTAACTCAGTGAACAAATATAAGGTAGCGGCTAGAGGATATATTCTGATGTCTCGTAGAAGGAAGGAGCTTTATAATAAAATTCTTCAAGATTTATATGATATGTTGAAGTTTGGAACACATTATAATGGGAGCAATTAGTGCCATATGACATACGTTTTTCCCAGCATAACCATCAAGGAATATTTACC